ACTTCTCTGTTTCACCTCTCCACCTGTCACGCTCTTCTTAACCTCGAAGCTTCCATTGTTTTCTAGGAAAAGCTTCTGTTGGCTTTCGTTAAAAGAGGCTGTTTTAGTATATACACAACTACTGTTCCCAATTCTTCTGAAGTACAATTTTCTTTTCTGTCACGCATATACAAAAAGCAATAACTTGAAATGCACGCGTAAAAATAAAAGTTTGACAAGGTACTGGAGGATTTCAGACCGCTTTTCTTGGCCATATCTTCAATTGACTTAAAATTTATTTGATAGCAGCGATGGCACACAAAAAATTTGGCTTTTTACAGTCTTTTTGGTTTCCCGTGACAAATTGACGCACAAACTTAGCAGAAAAAACTTAGTTATTCTCTCCTGTCTTTCCTCTTTTTAACTTCTCCTAATTTCGAAGGTGAGAGAGATGAGAAAGTATAGTAAAAATGAGTAAAAAAATCTCTGTGAGTCAGGTCACTCCTGAGAACATTGGAATTTCCTGTGGTTATCAAATGATCAATTCAGGAAGAAGGTAGCTATTTATTCAGATTACGGGACACTAAGTTTTAACATTATTGACAACTACTGATGAAGTTTATACGAGGTAACAATTTTCTTACTTGTCAGGGCTGACGGGTCTTCTATACATTGATCTGTAGCCGTATTGCATATGAAACCGCGTGGGCACTCGTCAAAAATACATACTAAAAAATACATTTTACCTTATTTTCTTTAGTACCTGAACCTACTTTTGACGTGTCAGCATACCAGTAATTCAATAGTTAGCTGTGAATTAGGGAACAGCAGGACTGGTAGTAAAGACTTACAATGAAGAACTGCTCAGTGGTTCATGGGATGGAAAAGTTTAACTTAGCATTGCTTTCTTTGGGAAATGAGAGCTCTGTGGTGCTCAACTTTTGTTTGTTTTTTTGAAAAGGTGGCACTTTTCTTTCTCTTTTTAGTTGCCTTCGTTTTCAACAAAAATTTAAAGCTGGAAAACCTCTCAAAACAAGAACTAAGCGCAATCTATGATAGAGTTATCAGAACTGGAGGACACTGGTGGAATTTTGTCGCTTCTCGCACACTTTGTTAGTAATACTGTCGTGATTTGCTAAAAAAACAGTTAATCGATTAGAGTCTTTGAATTGTGGCTCTTGAGGATAACCACAGAGGTGTAATTTGAGAATACGCTTCGAGGAATCACTATGAGATAAAGTTTCCGCACAGTTAAAAAAATGTTATTACCCTTAAGGTTTCTAAAAGAAAAGAATGTCGCGTGATTTCTTTCCTATTTTATGTCTTCGCTGAAATACTGTTTTACCAATACAGCCTCCAGCATAAAGGATACCTTT